TCCTTCTTTTATGAAGCCCCTCCCTCAGAAATAGGCGATGGGCTCTGATTGGTTAGCTAGCCCAGTGTGTTGTGATTGGCTAAACCGCCTCTAGTGCGCGTCTAAACGTCCCGCCCCTCTCCTCAGCGCATGTGCTCCGGTCATATTGTAAACAACGGCGTCTTTAATATCGCTTATCAGTTTGAGCCCGATTGAGAAGCAGAGGATATTATTGAAGAGGATCGTGCAGAACCTGTGCAAGCACGGCTTTTAATGGTAGGCCTATGTTTTTTGATTGTTGTTGTCTCATACTTTTAGATACGGTGTTATTTGTAAATGCTACTGCTTATGTTAGCTTTTAATATACAGTTTTATCGTGATTAAAGCTTTAATACAGTACGGCAACTGCACGCATGTATAACGCTTCTCATAATTGTGAAAATAAGTGTATAATTGGAACAGTTCATTGTTGGAACTGAGTTGAATGAGAGAGAGAGAGAGAGAGAGATGCAGAGCAGGGGACACGAGGAACAGTATTAAGAACCGCTGCTTTAGAATATTGATTTTGAAACTTGTGAATCCATTAGAATCGTTAGAAGACAGAATCGCGATTCATATATGAATAGATTTTTACATGCACCTCTAGTTTTCTCTTTCTGTTCTCTAAAGCAGCGCTGCATGGCCTTGCCCCCTTTGCTGCCTTTTCCCGAGGGTGGGGTTTATCTGGGTTTGTGATGTCACGAACCCGGGAAGTAACTTGTTGTAGTCCCTACCAGCCATTTTTAGGCATTAAACTGACAGAATTTTAAAAGACGATATCTCCGTTTGCATTGAACTTTCAGCTTCGTAACTTTGCAGATATTGTTTATGCTCAAACAGCAACATTACACACTAACTAACGTTAAAAAATTGAAATCGCAATGAACCACCCCTTTAAACTCGCGATAGATCAATGTTACTGATATGTCACTTTCTAGCCTATATATAATTTATTCGCAGTTTGAATAACCGTGGAAAGGAAACGTTATATAATTAGCAATTTCTAACGTTTTTATTCAATTGTAATCACGTTAAATACAAATTCAATCCCATTAAACAATATTTTTTTTAGCCTACATGACACCCTGGTCTTTGCCTAAAAAGACTGGTTTAATTAGGGTTGTGTATCGTTTGAATTTTATCAATTCCGATTCTGCTTATCGATATTTTATCAATTCCGATTCTGCTTATCGATTCCGATTCTTTTCGATTACAATGTGATTAAATGATGATATCAAACATTTATCCCATGTTTCTTTTTTGCAAACCATTTATTGGAGCTCAAAACCATGAACAAAAATCAACAGGCTACATAACTGGACTCTTTAAGAGCTGTTTGTGTGCAAAATAGAACTGCATGATTCTGAATAAATGTAGTTGTTTTTTTTTCTTTTTTTTCTCCAATGGAAGTTGTGGTTCTCTCATGATTCTGAAGAAAAAAAACTATAAACACATTTCATTACACCAAATACACAAAATAATGTTCTTTTTAGCAGCATCATATGACCCCTTTAGATGTACCACATTATATTCTTTGCATACAAAAAGTATTCTCGTAGCTTCATAAAATTCAGATTGAACCACTGATGGCAGATGGACTATTTTGACGATGTCTTTCATACTTTTCTGGGCCTTGACAGTGTAATTTACTTGGCAGTCAATGGGACAGTCACAAGCCTCCCGGTTTTCATCCAAAATATCTTAAATTGTGCTCCAAAGACAAACTAAGCTTTTACGGGTTTGGAACGACATGGGGTAAGTGATTAATGACAATATTCATTTTGGGGTGGAGTAACCCTTTAATAAAATCATACTCCGCCTAAACCAAACTGTTCATTTCTAATCGACCCTTTAAAGTCAGAAAGTACCACATCAGTGAAATCAAACTGGACAAATAGACCCAAACCCAAGAGTAGAGAGATATGAAACTGGTTTTGTGCTGATTGAGGTCAGTGTGTCAGTGGAGTGTCTTTGCAACACTTTATGAGACCGAGACACACGGGACAATGCAATGATGAAGTCCATGAGTGAGAGCTTACCCCCTCTCTCTATAGGGCCAGTGCTGCTGGTCTCTGCAGGGTGCTGAGAAACAGACCCCCCTGACATTCACAGTGGCCTGAATGTGGGACTGGCCACTCCGGTCAATGGCCTTGAATTGCGTCCTAACTCCTTTGAATGTAAATGTGAGTTTAAACCAAAGAATGGCCCACCTTCATTATGCCACAATGCAGCCCCCACACAATCACAATTAGGCATTTGATGACACTAAAGCTGCAAAAACATTACAAATACATCAACCTACAAGCACAAGATGTTTAAAAACTATGAAAAGACATGAAAATTGGCAGCAGGAATAACATTGTCATCATACTCCTTTCTTACTTATGGCTGGCGACTGAGGCCATCATTCTGCTTTACATCTCCCTTTTTTGTGATCCACGGAAGACAGAAAGTCATACAGGGTGAGTAAATGATAAGAGAATGATCATTTTTGGGTGAACTGTCCCTTTAAGCCTTATCAATTCTCTAGCACAATCTCAAAGACAAAACTTTGAGGTACAGAGGTATGAAAGTAAACATTTCTGGCTTTAGAATTGAACATGTTAATGGATACTAAATTATAAATCAGCAGGCTCTCCTGTATTATTTTATATAAAATATTCACATCTACATGCTTTTAAAAAATCTACAAAATATAAAGTCTGACCAGACTTTCCAATGTACTTCTACTGGTCACAAAAAGATTGCACAAAATATAAGCTATTTTATGTTCCACTTATATATATATATATATATATACACACACAAATAGTAGACTACGTTTACATATTTCAACCAATTTCATTTCCAGTTACTTTTTTATCCCTTTAAATTCAAATGTTTCATATGTCTACGATGTTAAATTAAAATTGACAAAATTATGGGGGATGGCAAATAAATTATTTTAAACAAATTCATTATATTCTATAAGCAGTTCTTTCAGAACTTAAAATTAATTTAAACAGTTCAAATTAACTACTTAGTTTACTATAACTACTATAACTAATCTGTAACAAATATGTAAATATTATATATAAAACAAATAAATATAAAACAAATATTATAATCAAACTTAAAACACAAACACAATTAACGACACCTAAACTAAACGTGTTAGAAAACCTCCTGAGGACTTTGTGAAACGTGAAACAAGCACGTGGTCAGTGTACAGTCACCTTTACTTCACTGCGTGATGCTCGACTGAGCCTCACTGAAATCAGCAAATCTTACTATGACCGAGTAACGTTTAACCTTATTGCCTAAATATGATATAAAATATACATAATCTATGGGCAAATGCTTTATATAAGCCAATTCTCACGTAGCTTCTAAATACCAACGTGATCCAGCTAATGAATAATTCATAAAGCACACTAGACTCACAACACATCCGATGTCACGACAATTAACTGATGGGCCTAGAGACATCAGGACGAAAAAAATCTGAAGTTTAGTGTTAGCCTGGGGGGAAATTAAAAAATGTAATGGTAGTAGTAGTAGGTCATAATTTACTAATAAACTGGGTCGTGTGTTACTGGGCCCTTTTGAATATCTATACCTGAACATCTAAATCGACGCATGCAGGTAAACTCACACCTGTCCATAAACACCGTGAGGAGACCGAAACGGTTGAATCAAGGTTTTGATAATACAAGACTACACGAAAATATCGACATATGTAGTAATTTTCTTATTAGAATAAAAACAATCCTGATTTACCTTCTCCATGCGCAGACCACGGGCAGATGGTGGAAAGAAACAGCACAGGACCCCAAAATAAGGTCCAAACATCCCTCGCTGTTCCAGATCTCATTCCTAAAAATCAGTTTTCCAAAAAACTAAAAGCTGAAACCGCAGCAAAACGCGACGCTGCTTCTTGTAAGCAAGCAAAAAGTCCAGAAGAATCCGCTTTGGATGAGCAGATAGTTCCTTTACCCGGTAAACTAACGGGAGGCGAGGAGGGAGTAGATAAAAGATGTCTGGTATTAATTGTAGAATTTTCCTTTAATGGACACATTAAGATCAATTAAAACATTCTGTTATTCTCGCCAGCAATTAAGTGATTTAATCGTGTCAGAGCCACGAATTTCACTCAACCGATAATCTGCATCTTCAGCCTCCATTTCTTGAAAACCCGACAGGACGCGCAGCACGGCCAGCGAAACGAACGGTTTCTCCTCCAACAAAACCACCTTATGCGAATGTGCCTATGCCAGTGTGATGAATTAGGCTACGCTATACTGATGTACGGGGGAATTTTGAGGTCACGTTCAAAGAGCTTGACGACTCGGATAGCGTATTTCTGTATGAATGAAAGCCTCCCGACAGGGCTCGATCCAAAATATCCGCCAGGACAAAAATGGTTTCACCAACTGCTCACCCTACCCTACCGTCCTCACGCGCTCTCACGGTCGGTCGGTTTTGCGGTAGGAAAAAAAAAACACACATTTGATCGAGGTGCAAGAGTGAGCAGCTCCCGAGCGTGGGGTTTTGGTTTTCCGCAACGTAAAATATCACGAACTGCTTGCTTGGTATAAATAGCTTGAGAGGCTAGTGTTTAATTCTCGAGTCTCCACGGCGGCGTTCGGACTCCTCGGCGACTCTTTTGACGGTCTCCGCTTATGGAGACAGATCAGCCTCAAAAATAACACATTTACAAAACAAATGCTCAGTAGAATCACCACTGTAAACAAGACTCGGCTTCTCTCACAGAGAAACACGCCAGGCATGAGAGAATGCAAAAACATGGACTGGAACACTGGACCAACCATGCAGGCGCCAGCAGACCATTTGATCTCAAACGTCAAGGTGACAGGAATTTGTTTTGGTTGTTGTTGTTGTTTTAACGAAAGTGTAGGCTATTGTAACAATGAGTCATACACTTGTTTAGGCTACATAAATATATGTTAATACCAGGTCTGCCATAATGTTTATTTGAAGACTAATTATGTAATTTCATCTTTAGCTTATATTAATAAATGAATAGTCATAAGTTACAGAAATACAATATGTAGTGGAATCGTCATCAATTGCAAAAACTGACAACTATATAAAAAAAAAAAGTTTGAGATAGATAGATATAGATAGATAGATATAGATAGATAGATGCATTTTAATAGCTACATTTAAAACAATTTTTGTCATTTTTATCAAAAGAATTATATTTAATAAAAAAATTGTATTATTATAGCTGAATAATAACACTATTGTCTTTTAATAACTGCACTTCAAAATTGTTGTTTTCAACATTTTAGAACATAACACTTTGCTATTTTTTTATTACTATGTAGCTGCTTTGAAACAATCTGTTGTATGAAATGCTAGGTACATAAATATGTGATGTGACTTTAATTGACTTGACATGTTTATTTTTTTTTTTAATCATTTTTTCATATTAAAGCTATTCTCACTGCTATGCTGTCTCCATAAAATACTAAAGGGACAAAATATGTGACTGTATGCATTACAAAAAACAAAAAGAAATGAAATGTATTATGAAATTAAAACAGGCTATGCAAGGAAGTATAGGCCTAACCTTTAGTTGGGAAACTATATGAGAGACAGGTATAAATAAATAAAATAGTCACCACAACAAAAAAGAAACAAGAAAAGGGTACATAATATTGGCTGTGTTAGCTACTCAGGACGTGTTAACGGTACCATGTTAATAATTTCCTAGAAAATGGATTGAATATTGTTAAATCCAAGTGCACTGGCCCTTTAAGATGCATTCCGAGTTTCATAAACGCCAGATTGAACACAGTCTGTGAGTAAAACGAATATAATGTGTGTGTTCAAATAAGATAATTACAGCACTCATTTTAGAACGCCACTCACTGCTATTCCAATTCAATTAACGCTGGAAGTTATAGCACGTCGTCTCTGGCACATGGAGCTGTTACATGGAATTAATTGATAGAGGTTTTAAAACTAATGCATGTTTTTTTTATAACCTTCATATCTACCCCATTTTCAGCTACAACGATAACGATTTGTAATCAATTCTCTATATTCAAAATATTACCCAGCTCCACATTTTAGAAGTGCACATATTTTGCCAATGACATAGTCTTGTCAGCTAAAAGTAAAATCCGATGTAGAATTTCATTCATAGAGACGGAACGGCTTTACAGTTACAATCCATTCATTCGTTCGTGATGAGGCAGAGTCATCACTGTTCAACATTACTGTCCGAGAATAGCAATAACCTTTATAAAAGATGGACCCAAAAAATGGACCCAAGGCTCGTAAGGCTATATTAATAATGCGTTTCTAAACACACTCAAAATATTTCTGTCTGTTTTTAGATTTATGCATTTAAATTGTTCAGCAAATTTCCATTCAGTTGAATTGAGTAAACTTAAAATGATCTGCAAACTCTCAATTCAGTTGCCTATAAAAATGTGAAGTATTCAATTTTAAAAATTTAAGTTAGCCTAGGTATGAATGTCTATAATATATATATAAGCCCATATTCATTTAAATCTATTTTTGAGTGGAATTTGATTGTTTGAGTCAAATGGCATCACTCTTTTATTTTAATTAATATGAAATGTGGATCCAAAAATATAGTTTCTTACTCAAACAGCATTCAGAGTTTTCTAAACTGCAACTCAATTCTTTCTATCCTTGGAAATCGCCTTGACCTTGTATCTTCTAATAATCTGCAACTTTGTGTTTGGCGCCTCCATATGTCAAAATGCAGCATTTATCATGTCTCACTGGGCAATGAACAGATCCTCAGTATGTTCACAGATGGTTTCAATTCCAGATCATTTGTGCAACAAATCTTTTCTTCCAGTTACTATACATCTATACAGCTAAACGGCACTATAGAGAAAAGTATCTATTCTCACTGCAAATTCAATGTTAAGACATTTGACACTAACTTTGAATTTATAGATATTGTTGAAAGATCCCAGACTAATTAATGAGCATTAATTGTGGAAATAGACTTGTTAAACATGTAAATTACAAATTTTGATAATAGAGGAATAAAACATACTTTTCCACATTCCTGTCTCTTATAATCATACATCTTTTTTTTTTTTTTAAACAAAGTACATTTTATGCTCACAACAAAGCTTAAACACAAGGATAGCGCCCCAGATTACCTCTGTCCTGGCAAAACAAAGTTAAGCCCCTGTAAATCTACAGTCAGAAAAAGAAAAAGCAGAGCCGTCACCAAAAGCAAAACTCCCTTGATACAGTGCTTCTGTCCATATGAATTTGTCCTCATGCAGTTCCACCCAGACTACCTTTCCTTTAGTTTCATTTCAGATGGAGGTCAAATGGAAATAAGCATGTTTACCACTGACAATAGTGATGACACACTGTTTGTTTCTCATTTTTATATAAGCCCAGACAGGAAAAGGAATTTGGAGGACAGGGCAACAATTATGTTCGGGTAAACATCTACAGTCAGAAAAATAAAAGATTCCTGAAAAACAAGCTGAAAATAACATAGCGCAGGAGGGGTGCAACAATTTGTTTTTCTCACAGAGCAGCTTGGTTTGATCTCAATTATTATTGTTATCACCCCCAAAAGCAGGAGCCAAACATTTTTATTGCAGATGAGCACTGACCATCAAGTATTCACTTCCTCCTCCTTTGTAAATAATAGTTGAGACATTCCTTATGTCTGGGCTGTTTGGGTAAACATTTTGAGGGGGGGGGGGGACTTCCCAAGAGAATGTGTTTGCTGCAATACTCAGAGCAAATGGAAAACAAATCTCATGCAGTTCAGCTCTTCTTTTGGATGGCGTGAACCTTGATTCATCAATTGGATTGCTGTGTTGCCACTAAAAAGCTTAGCTGGAATTATCTATTAGCAGTTCCTCCTGAGCTTCAGATTACCGACCATGTATTTACTATAGTGCATATCCACCATCTAGTGTTTTAATTTCTTTCCTTAAATATTTTATTTAAAAGCAACTGTTTCTGTTACATTATAGTTTAATTGCTTGAATTAAATGTGTTTTATACACAGTCATAAATACATTTTTTTTTTTTTTAAATCCCTCTAAACCTCATGAACAGAGTAAGATTTATTCATTTATTTGCTATATATATATGTATATTTAAAAAAAAAATTTATACTTAAGTTATTATTTTAGAAATGCAAAGCTTATGGTACAAAAACATCAAGACATTTTGAGTGGCCTTTAACTGACCATGATCGTTTAGTCTAGACGAGTGAGAATGACATTATTTTCATGGGTTACAAAGTAGGCCAGGGTTCAGTATAGCCAAGGCCAATGTCATAATCCTCTTGTAAAGTCTGATCATGTGACACGGATTGAAGACACTCAAGGAATCCCGCATGGGTTACACAAACAACCTGATGACAAAGCAAGGAAGGAAAACAAGCATGAACCTCGCTGATATGCAAAGCTAGATCCTGTTTTACATCTTAAACAGAAACCACATAGGTGTTTTGCATTTAAAGTCTTTTGCCCAATTTACTTTTCTGCAATATTTGCTCTGATGCCAAATATCCTCAGCAGTTCAACAGCCGAGTGACAGTCAATCATATTTGAGGTTAAACTCTCAGCTTTACAAAAGCATATTTAACAATCCATGCTAGCCTTTCCTAGTGAAAGGAATTTCAGAAATGTCTGCAATTTCTCAGTGGGAAGTCGGTGGTTTATAATGGAGATGAAGGGAGACGGGAATAAAACGGATGCAAAATGCATTTTCCATAGCAGGCGAGACTTAGATTGTACTGTAGTTTGACTATGTAAGTAGAGTAAAACCAGGTCAAAAAGGAACTCAGTACAAAACAGTGCACTTGTATCGCACATGATTTTGCAGGGAAAGAATGTGCCTCAAAACATGTTTATTCAAAAAGCCTTCGGTGTGTGTGTGTTTTTTAATTTTTTATTCTTGTGTCTCACATTTGTCTGATGTTGTTGCCATCTTGTGGGCAGTGTAAATATTGGACAGTCACTGTTTGGAAATGGGATTGTAACTAACTGAATGTGTTTTTTGTTTTTTTTTCCTTAAATGCTTAATTTGTTTGCAGAAAGAGGTGACAAAGAGAAAGGGCACACTTGTTATTACTAATAACCATCCCAGAGGAGACCTTTAAAGATTAATTTAAAATTATTTTAATAGATTTATATACAATGAATACCCTTTTGATTAACACGAATCTGTATGCGTCTGACTGTGTCATAAGCATCATAGCAACAACAACAAAAAAACCTGAAAGGAATTAAGATGTAGTTTACTTTCCAAATGATAAACAAATAGGCTATAACTCAAAAATGAATCATTCGTAATACTTGAAACAATTATATTAAAGCATTGAAGGTGACACTTATTACAATTATAATGAAAAAAGTAGGTTTAACAAGCTAAGGATTTTGTTTAATATGTATATTTATTATAAAAAAATTGTATGTGAGGACCAATAGGCTATAACTCAAAAATGAATCATTCGTAATACTTGAAACAATTATATTAAAGCATTGAAGGTGACACTTATTACAATTATAATGAAAAAAAGTAGGTTTAACAAGCTAAGGATTTTGTTTAATATGTATATTTATTATAAAAAAATTGTATGTGAGGACCGAAATAAATCTTGGTGATGATGATTCATGTAATAGG